AGTCGAGTCCGACTCTAGGGTTGCGGTGCTCATCTCCGTTTCAAAGCCGAAGAGCCAGCGCTGTCCGAAGACGTTTCCGTGGTCATGTGGCCAGCATGACTAAACACCATGGCGCACGGAGCGCTGTTACCTTCCCACCGAAGTGGTACCTATTTATCTACTTGCAATTTCTTCCTTTCGAACTGCTAGGTTGGCAGGAGCTGGAACTAGAAACGGGAGCTCACTCTGTCATGAGGCAACTCAGGTCTTGAACTGCTGAACTGCTGACCTTCCACAGCCTGCAGTTCAGCGTCTTGACCACTTGAGCCACTGCAGCTCCCCATATGCTACTCTTTCACTATTACAGAGCCTAACTAGCTGAGGAAGAGCTTTCCAAACAACTCACCTCTGGAGTCCCTGAAGTCCACGTGATTTGGTGGATAATGTTTACAGAGCCTTTCCATTATCTGCTTGTAGTGCATAAGCCGGTGCAGAGGCCTGAGCAGGAAGGTATTGAGGGGTAAGTAACAAACTTTCTGCATCTCGAAGTCCCTGCATAAAGTCTCCAACTTGCGGGAGTTCTTGATCCCGTTCTCTAGCTCAATCAGAACCTCGCTGTGCTTCCGCAGATGGATTGTCAGTTGCTTGAGAGAAGCAAAGAGATAAAGAAGATGAATGTACATCGGAAAATGAAGGCTTGCATCCAGACAATTCCACAGACTCAAGGATTTCAAACCATGGAGCACCATTTTCCCACCTGCCCCCTCTCACGGCAGCTTTAAATGCTCCCCAGAACCCTGTTCTTGGAGGAGAGCGACTCCCAGGAACAGAATTTTGGAGTTGTCGCAGGAGGGGAGGAGCCAGGAAAATCATGCCGTGGTCCTTGTGCTCAGGAAGATATTAGCCTGGATCCAACACATTAGCAAATCAAATTGCATACAGGATTGAAAAGGCATGGGACTGCATTGCTACAATACTAAATGCCAATTCCTGTAGGATGCAATAATTATTAACTCAGGATATCTGACCCACGATACCTTCCCGGAATGCCTTCTCCCAAATGAACATTCCCTCGGGAAATCTGATGAAGATCTATCTTGGATCTGTCTGTCTTCAAGAGGTTTGGTTTCAGACAACAAACAAGGAGCAGTACCAGGGAGCCAGTTTGGTGTCGTGGTTAGGAGCGCGGACTCTAATCTGGGAGAACTGGGTTTGATTCCCCACCCCTTCACATGCAGCTGCTGGGTGACCTTGGGCAAGCCACAGTTCTCTCAGAGCTGTTCTCGCAAGAGGAGTTCTCTCACTCAGCCCCACCTACCTCACAGGCTGTCTGTTGTGGGGAAGGGAAAGGAAGGAGATTGTAAGCCGCTCTGAGACTTCGAGTGAAGGGCGGGGTATAAATCCAATCTCCGCCTCCTCTTCTACCTGCTCAACAGTGACACCTTCCCTAAGGACCCTGCCTCACCTCTCCGGGGTCCACAAGGTTCAAGAGTCTGCATGCTTTTAAGGGAGGCTATGCTGCTTATCAACACTGGTGCCACATACTTCTGGCTGCTGGTGTGAAGATGTCTTATGGATTTGGTTCAACAGATGGGGACAATAAGCTTTTAAATGTTATGCCTGTCATGGTGAAATGCTCAACAACAGCCTCCATATGGGGCTGGTAATGTTCAAAATAGCTTAGAGCCAACTGTATGCAAAAGCGATAGCTTTTGGGTCAAGAGGATGGAGAGCTGGGAGTGCTGTGGGGACAGGATCCCCCCCCCACAGGTTCCTTAAAACAAGTCCAGACCAATGTTCCCTCTAAGCCGTGGAGTCTCGTGAGCAAAAATTCTACTTTGTGAGCGACTGGCATTAAAGTTGTGAGCAGGTGATTTGGCTGCTGCATAGATTAGTTTGCTCTGGAGCCCTCCTTCCTGAGCGGAGACAGAAATGTGTGAGCTGGAGGCTAAAAAACTGTGAGCTGGCTCACACTAACTCAGCTTAGAGGGAACACTGGTCCAGACTGAATTTGGCCCCATCAGCTCTCATCCAATCAGCTTCCACCTAACTTGGGCCAGCAGACCAACCTCATCCACATTCTTGCAGGACCCAGGTCAGAGGTACAAATAATGGTGGGTACTTTCATTTTAATATTTACTTTGATTTTTAAAATAGTTATTTGCTGCTCAGAGAGTACTTAAGAACAACAGTTCAAAAACCAGCTTTACAGTTTAAAATCCAGTAAAAGCGACCAAGACTGTGGTCACAGATACTAAATAATCCACTTTCAATGCACTTTCCAACTGGATTTTGTCAGTTCACACAGTAAAATGTTCACATTTTCCCTATGAAGAAAGGTTAAAACGCTTGGGGCTCTTTAGCTTGGAGAAACGACGGCTGAGGGGTGACATGACTGAGGTTTATAAAATTATGCATGGGATAGAGGAGGTAGAGAAAGAAGTACTTTTCACCCTTTCTCACAGTACAAGAACTCGTGGGCACTCAATGAAATTGCTGAGCAGTCGGGTTAGAACGGATAAAAGGAAGTACATCTTCACCCAAAGAGTGATTAACACATGGGATTCACTGCCACAGGAGGTGGTGGCAGCTCCAAGCATGGACAGCTTCAAGAGGGAATTAGACAAGCATATGGAGCAGAAGTCCATCAGTGGCTATTAGCCACAAGGTATAGATAGGAACTCTCAGTCTGGGGCAAGTGATGCTCTGTATTCTTGGTGCTTGGGGGGGGGGGGCAACAGTGGGAGGGCTTCTAGTGTCCTGGCCCCACTGCTGGACCTCCTGATGGCACCTGGTATTTTTGGCCACTGTGTGACAGAGTGTTGGACTAGATGGGCCATTGGCCTGATCCAACATTGGCTTCTTTTATGTTCTTGTGTTCTTAAAATCCAGTTGGAAAGTGCACTGAAAGTGGATAGAAAGTGGAATATTTAGTCTGTGTGACCACAGCCCAAGTCTGCCTAATCCGAAATCCTTATCCACAATTCAACAAAGCCATCAAAGCATTTCCTCATTACAGCAGTGCTCAGCATTATTATCCAAAGAGCTTCTTTTAAAAAATCATGCCTCACAGGCCTTCCTTGAAGCGACTGGGGTTGATGGAAAGGAGCTGATAGCCTGCATCTCGAGAAAAGTTAAACCTGTGATGCCATATAGAAAAATCCAGGTGCAAAGCTGGGGATCCTGTCCTACCTGCAGGAAACAGCTCAGTTTACTGCTGTTTTCGTGGCATGCATTTTAATATTCTATGGCAGAAAGGTGACCTAAAAATGAAGTTGTGGACACACAAAATCCAGATGTTTGCAAGTGCAGAAATTTTCCTTTGACCAACCGTGCAGAAATTTATTGGCTAGCTTCTGCTCCGGTGCACAAATAAAGCAGAGACTACATTGTAAGAAGGAACACATGCCTGAGAGCGCAACCCAGTGGTTCCATCCGACCTACCCCACAGATAAAAGGCAATTCATACCTTCATACTCTGAATGTTCTTCAGCATAAGGTCCCCAATTCTTTGGTAATCTCCTTTCAGATGGGCATTCGATCGCCCTTCCCTGACAACAACAGAATAATCTATGTTAGTCAGGCATTATAACTCAAAGAGAATACAGATTTTATATTGCAAAGAAACCTTATTTCTCCATGCTGCCTTTTGGAGTGAATCTTCTTAATGGGCTGTTAATTTGCTCATGAAGTACATCTTTCATTCGCAATGGCTGCACTTATAAGGACGCTAAGGCCATGAACTTTGCAAGGCTATTAAATGTTGAGGACAAAAGGGCAAAGAAAGCAACATTCTGCACAGATTTAAATACCCCCCCCCAATCCATTGGCTTCAGCAGGCATCAAATAAGCTTAAATTCAAACATATAACTTCAGTATTTCAAGATTGGAAGACAATGCTAACCACTCTTAACTGACATGTCAAATGTACCGAAAACAATTAACATCTGCAGAAAAAAAAACACAGTTGCACTTACCTGTAACCGTTGTTCATGGAGTTGTCTTCTGTGCAGACACACACTGGGACTGCTGCTAGGCAGGCCAACTGTGGAAAGATTCTTTTCAAGCTATAAAGTCACTACAAGGTACCCTTCCCCCTTCCAGAGCCATTGTGAGCTGTTTCCCCGCCCAAACGGTCACATGGTTCGGAGGGGAGGGAGCCCATCCCCTCAGTTCTGCCAGAGCTGCTGTGAACAGCAACACGGTCGAACAACCACAACAACAACACTGTAATACTCAATTTTTCGGCGATGAAGAATCAAAGCGAGCTGAAGAAAAGGACCTGCTCCAACGACAGCGAAGAAGGAACTGAAGGGATGGGTGCCCTCCCCTTCGAACCATGTGACCGTTTTGGGGGGAATGGCTCACAGTGGGCTCTGGAAGGGAGAAGGGTGCTGTCTGGTGACTTTTTAGCTTGAAAAGAAACTTCCTGCGGTTGGCCTGCCTCGCTGCAGTCCCAAGGTGTGCCTGCACAGAAGACCAAAGATGAAACACCAGTTTGCAGATCAGTTTGCAGACCACAATAAAACTACCCCAGTGCTAGACCAGTGACATTAAAAAAACAAACAAAAGAGTCTTTTTCTTTGTACAAAACACTCCTGTCACAAACGGAGGCTGCAGTTCCTCTTAAAAGTTATTTATCATGCAGTATGGGAGTGTTCAAGAAATAGACACCTCCCACAGCTTCCTTGGGCATACAAAACAAGTTGTGTAGTTCTTTAGATCCTGGCAGATTTCTGTTTTCACTCGTTTTAAAAGAGGCCTACTTTCAAACAAGCAGGAGTGTAGAGCAAGCTGTGTTTCCTCCTTAATCCACATGGCTTAAACTAGAAAATAAGACCGTTCCGGCAGTCCTCATTAGTGAAGATATACTAATTTGCATATAGCATCCTTACTACATACCCTCTTGTGTATTATTTTCTACTTGGAGAAGCACAAGAGGAGGAATTAATCTCCCAAACAGAAGAAACTACAGAATTATCTCAACACGGCAGTAACATTAGAAAAAAAACATAAACAAGAAGTGATAGTGCTAAACGGCTTTGTGTTCCCTTTCAAGCAGACCAGAAGACTGTGTCATACGTTGCCTCGTAATTACATCTCAGAATACAACATCTTCCTGCTTTTATCCTCAAGCACACCCAGAACCAAGCAAGCAGAACAAAGTAATAAAATACATTCCTGAAATGAACAGGCAAGACCTGTGTTACAGAGATGGTCATCTTGTGTGCATGCTACATTTTAATGTGACAAATTTGTCATGAGGGTTCAGTCTACTGTGAAGCTCATAAAAACACTGAATGGCTGTCTGCAGCAGTAGAGGCGATTCCTAAGGAAAGCATCCTTAAACTCTCACGGGGATTTGATCCTACGGATTTGCTCCTCCAATGGTAGTGCCTTCTTCCAGTGCAAGGTGCCTTCCCCTGATGTAAGAGGTCCTTCCACTAGCGGAACAGCCTCTTGCATCCAAGGAAGACACCTTGTGCTGGAGAAAGGCGCTACCATTAGCAGAACACATCCATAGAAGTCAACCCTCAGACTGTGTGTGTGTTCTTTTTAAAAGGGCCATGAGGCTGAATACAAATCAGCCTCTGTCCTTCTTCTCAATACGTGTAGACTGCATGTCTCTCCAGCTAAAAACACCGATGTTTAGAGGACATTTGTTTCACGAGCTTCTTCTTTTAGCAGTCTTAAGAGTCATGCCATACACTATTTTCTTTCTGTGTTCGCATTAAAAGGTAAGGCACACATACCTCAAAGGCATATCTGCAAGCATACGCAGTGCACAGATATATGTGCTAGGGAGCTGCAAAACATCTGTCTCAACCGACACATCCTAATGAGTGGGTAAGATTAGCTGATGCCATGCAACTCCACAGCAAAGAAATCAGATATTGACTCTCTCTACTCAAAGACATTACTGCCAAGGACAATTTCCTTACAAGCAGAGATGTAAAATTTCTGAAAATTTTGAAGCCATTGGTGGGGGGAGAGGAGAGAGGTCAGTTTTGGGAAAAACTGAAATATATGCAACACTTACTTTTCTAGCAAACCTAAACTGCTTTTAACGATTTAATAACATAAAATGTGCCACTGAAAACTCAGTTATAAAACTGAACTATGTAGACACATTTATGGAATTTAATAGTAAAAATGTCTTAATTTTCTGTAAGAAAAATTACAAGTATACGCAGTACTTGATGAAGAGTTGCAAATTGCTGCACCTTATGCTAACATTGCACATGAATCTGAGAGGAAGGAAAAATAAAAGTTGAAAGCAGAAAAATTCTGTAGTAAACTAAAGAAAGGGCATTATTTGAACAGATACGGTCTCATAGAGCAACAATAGGTAGTGTTACCGGCGTGTTTGGAACTAAACATTATAATACTGAAAACAATGAACTCTTTAATAGTATTATTTATTAAACACATTATAACATATTAATTTTTGCTAAAATTATTTATATTTAAACAAAAACATTCTTGAAAATGTTGTATATGTGTACCATATAAGAGATGTTTTTCCCCCAGTGCTCCCCAAAATTTCCTAATTTTTTTCCATTGGAAAAATTAAGATAAACCTCAGACACTTACATGCTGTACATGTGGAATGAAAGAAATAATTGTATGAGAAGAGAAAATATTTAATAGGTAGTTTTTCAGTTCCCCCAAATTTCCCATTGGAAAAACTGAAAAATCCCTGACACTTTTCCATGAAACATATTTTGAATGTGAAAATCCTTGTCTTAAGAAGCCTTTTAAAGGTAAAGGTTCCCCTTGCTCAAAAGCTAGTCGAATCTGACTCTAGGGGGTGGTGCTCATCTCTGTTTCCAACCCGAAGAGCCAGCGCTGTCCGAAGATGTTTCCGTGGTCATGTGGCCGGTATGACTAAACACCGAGGCACACAAAACGCTGTTACCTTCCCACCGAAACGGTACCTATTTATCTACTTGCAATTTCTTGCTTTCAAACTGCTAGTTTGGTAGGAGCTGGGGCCAGACACGGGAGCTCACTCCATCACGTGGCATTAGGGTCTTGAACTGCTGAGCTACAGACCTTCTGGTCTGCAGCTCAGCATCTTAACCGCGGCCCCAAGAAGCCTTTTACTCAATTCTAAAAGAGAAAAGTCACAGGAGGGTGTTTTTTTTCAGTGCTTGCCCCAGATTTTCCCATTATTTTCATTGGAAAATAAAAGTCCTAGGGGAAAAGTTAAAAAATGCTGGAGCCCCCCCTGAATTTTTCAGGGTTTTCCTAGTCTTCACATCACTGCTTACAAGTGCATGTATTTTTTCATGCCCCTATTGACGGATACCCTACTGGAAGAGAAGAATCAAATGGCTCCCCACTCCCAAGCCAAAAGAATTTCCAAGGCTATAGAGCAGCAAGGGGAAGGATTAGATAAATGCTTCCTTTTCTTCACCCTTAAACAAAATCCAGTGTCCCATGGCTTGCTATGAGCCCATCATACCTTACAATAGTGCACTGTAACTCCTGTTATCATCCTGAAGCCAGAGGCCAATTTTGAAACTTCTAGCTTTATTTTACGGAAGAGTAACACTTCAGCAAATTGCATGGAACAGTTCAGCTGCTCTGCCACTGCAAACCCTAGAGCTTTACAACTATAATTCCACTCCCCCTCTTATTGGCATTTACATCTCCTGTGCTAATTTCATCACATCAGGGAAGCAGCGCAATAAAAACACCACATTGGGTTTTCTGCCAGGATGAAATTTCTTAGGCTGGCCTTGTGGAAGTTATATAATCAATATAGGGCCAGCCAGTAATAAGCGTGCTCTGATAAAACTGGAGTGAACATACTAATTACACTGTGGCCAGATAGAAGGGCATACGATAACAGATGGCCTACTGAATGCATGTATGAACGTGTAAGCACGATCCTGCACCCCAGAGAGAGCAAGATGAAGAAAGATTATAAACTTTTCTACCAAGAGTTATCTCTGTGCCTGATGCCCACTAACTCTGTTATGCTGTGACTCAACGGCAAGTCAATTGCTGCCAGGGCTATTTCATCCTGTGGCCTGCATACTCAGCACACAATTCAAATTCCCACTAAGAACAGACTATGTAACAGGCCCCTGGTGAAGTTGCTAGATCAGGGTGCCCAACGTGATGACCATAGGAACCACTGTGCCCACCAACAGCTTCTTGGTGCCCACCAAGTGTTCTTAGAAAGTGGGTGGGGCGGGGTGGGGCTTTTACACAGCAGGACTCCTGACACTGAAGATCTGATCGTCTGTGCAGATTAAAATGACATTGTTTCAGGGGCAGGTGCCACCACAGTGTTTGTTTTCTTCTCTCACCCCCTTTCCCAGTGTATTTTTTACTACCCTCTCCCTCCCCCGCACTTGGGCTCCGCCTCCTGCAGCAGCCATTTTGTGGTTGGCTCAGCCCCCTGTGGTGCCCATTTTGTATTTGTGCCCGCTACTCTGTGTCAGAATTCCAAAGGTGCCAAAAGGCTTAAAAAGGTTGGGGAGCTCTGTGCTAGATGCTAACATGTGGAAGCCACTCTCCAAGCACATTAGTTGTTTAA